GGGGAGAGGGAGGTCTGGGCCTCCCTTCTGAAGCTGCTGCCCCCGCGACCCGACCCCGGATAGGCGGAAGAAAATGGATGGATGGATGGAGTATTTTTTAACACTAACAAGTCGAAACAAAATAGGAGAAATGACTTTCTACTTCTTACCTTTATTAAAAATTTAGTGAGTAGAAAGTACAGTTAACTGTGTAAAAATGTAAGGAGTAGAAGCAAAAAGTAGGCTGAAAAATAATTACTCAAGTAAAATACAGATAACCAAAATTTCTACTTAAGTACACTAAGTATTTGCACTTAGTTACTTTACAACCCTGAGAAGTTTGAAGAAATAACAAAAAAAATGTTTTTGCCAACAACATGCTGACGTGCCAGCTTACAGAAACCGTGGAAGTAAAGTCACGAAAAGGCATGATACAAGACCTGGCTCGAAATAATGCTGAACTAAGTGGTGAATTGTGAGAAACAGATGGATTATATGGGCTGGGGCAGATGGGAAGGGTGGCTGCAGCTGTGATTAATTAAACCAGAAGCAGGTGTAACTGGGCGTGGCGGGACTAAGGATCAGAGACTAGTAGTGCTGGTGGCACAGAGGAACACAAACTGAACACAAGAGGACAAAAACTATGAACCAAAGAAGCCGAGATGAACTCAAAACACAAAAAGAACCTAAAAATGCAGATTGTGAGAGAGTAGTTGAAACAGATTTCTACCAAATGGTCTGAGCACTGGCAGGTTGCAGAAAATCTCAGTTAAAATTTTGCTTTTAACTATTTTGAGTTAACCCTGCCTGTTACCAAAATGTCTCATGAAGTACTCAGCAGTTTTAATGAATGTTCCAGGTTCCTCAGAAAAAAAACTTGTGAGGATTACCAACTGAAAGATGAAGGTGGAAGTGAAGCTGCATTACTTAATGTTAGACACCATGTATATAAAATACACACTACTGAAATAAATTAATGTAAGACTTCACACATAGCAAAATCTGCCTGGCCCAGACAATACACTAACACTCCAACACTCAGACCAGATACTGCAAGAAACGACAGCCCTTTGGTGGCCCAGAGGTGGTTTATGCATTGGCCCTTACCACATTAACCAAACCATAACTGGGCCAGTTGTGGCATACCATTTTCAAACCAGATCCATCATTACCAAACCTGGCCCACATCCAGTTGACAAACCAAATTTCCGTGCCATCAGTCGGTCAGCAGTACCAGCTTGACACCAGATCTGACCCGCACCTGTCTGTCTGCTATGTGGGTTAGGCATTTCAAACTTTACAAGGGTGTTTTTATTGACATGCCAGCTGTAAATTTATAGGCACTTGGAGACTTGATAGAACACTGAAAGAATGAGGAAACCCTGAGTTCTCTTGAATCAAGGTTAGAAACCAATTTGTTTAGCGTTAGCTTTAAATGTTCTTTTGAAAATATAAACTGAAACATCAATTTTAGTCTGTGGTCCAACTCTTCTTTCCTGTACTATGCCACTGTAATGTACCATATTTATTCAAGTATAATACGTAAAATTTAATCCATAAAATCATCCATAAAGTTGGGAGGTATGGTATTATACTCTGATAAATATTTTTACTTATGTATTTTTAACTGAAATATCGGCAAAATGCCTCAGTCCAGAAATGAGACCGCGTTGTAAAAAGCAGTTGAACTGAGCTCACCTGTGACTGGGCCGCTGCTGGAACAACAACAAACAGATGTCTGTCTGCAATGGCTGCCATCTACCGGTGTTCTGAAAAGTTTTGTATCCCTGAAAAAAGTTTCCCCACCAGAGGGGGCGCTCGCGAGTAGGAAGTAATCTGCTTTTCCCTCAGAAGAAATCTCATGTGAAGTCTCTGACTTTTGTGTTGGCGCCTCCTGGTGGACTATGTGTAAAATACCAGAATTCATATGATGCTGCTACAGCTGATACACTGTATGTTTGTTGTCAAAATACCTTTTAGTACATATGTTGTTAAAATAAAATGAACGGTCCAATGATCATCTTACTGATATGTATAAAGACTGCAAAGGCTGAAAAATCTTGAAGTCTGTATGAAATTGGAAGTAGTTTGAGGATTATTTTTTTATGCTTTTTAAGCTCAAAATGGGGGGGTCGTATTATACATGAGGTCGTATTATACATGAGGTCGTATTATACATGAGATCGTATTATACATGAGATAGTATTATACACGAATAAATACGGTACTTCTTTTTTATGTTTTTCTCATGTAATGCCCTTTGAGGTTCCGGTGGCGCCGTTGCATGGCAGCCCCACCTCTGTCAGTGTGCCCCAGGGCAGCCGTGGCTACAATGTATATTTGCCATCATCAATGTGTGAATGTGAGTGTGAATGGGTGAATGTCTGTAAGTGTAAAGCGCTTTGGGGTCCGGAGAGTCTTGATAAAGCGCTCTATAAGTTCAGTCCATTTACCATTTACCATTTGAATTCCCTTGTTACTAACATGTGCTATATAAATAAACTTGCAGTAGTTTAACCTGCAAATAACATGAGCCACAAGGTTTTTGCTGCTGTATAGTTTGGAACAGAAAGATCTTAAACTTTAATCACCTGTCAAGAGGTTAGTTCTGCTCTGACTCTGTCCGTAACCACTTCATTGATCAAACCAAATGTTATTTAATACATATTCTCGGATATATTGAGGTCCTTACAAATGAAATCTACCTGTTTAATAGGCACCTCAGAAAATCCAGACAAAATCTGAAAAATGCACGTCATTACATGATCATCCTGATATAGTTCTGACAGAGTCGTGATGCAAAATCCTTTCTTTTTTTGGCACATTGAAGTCAAACTGTAGGTTCTTAGTGGTGCTCAGCAGTGTTATGGTTCATAGTGGATACAACTTTACAAGCCTGTTTTTCAGCCCTCTCATATACATAACATTAATTTTGAGTTTTGAATTAAATATTCTATCATTTCTCAGATGATCTTACTTCAAAACTCTGGCATGAAACGAGTGATATGCATTCCTTCAAGCAATGCATTTGTGCAGCAGTATAGTTTCAGAGCCCGTGTGCTGTGCATCTGGAGACTTATCTGCAGCCACTCGTGGTCAGCAGCCCAGGAACAGTCTATAATTAGGGGTCAATTAGGGTCAAGAGGATCGATATCAGTAGAAATAGGAGAGTCCTCCACAGAGTGTATAATGTCTTATCAGGCTGCTACAGGAGCTGTTGCTTTAGGTAATGATGTATGTGTTTACCTCGTGTATTATAGCACAGTTAATCTCATCCTCTCCATAAACGACAAACTGCCATGACGGCCTCAAATACAGGATTGCGAAGGAACAGAATTAATGTGGGAAAGTTAATCTAATCTAATAAATGCTCATATTTGCTTTTCTTTCAGTTGAATAAACTTCAATTATTCCTTCTTTGTTTCTCTATTTGTCTTGTGGCGTGTGCGTGTGCGTGCGTGTGTGTGTTGGTGGTGAAGGACAGATCCTCCTGCCCTGGATGCATTCATCATGGATAAAGCTCTGTTGGACTTTGAGGTCTCCATCGATGCAGACTGCAAGCTGCTCACAGTAGGGAAGCCTTTCGCTATTGAAGGTGAACACGCTGTTAAGACTCACACTCACATTTTTGTATGACTTTTAAGAAATTTGTAACACTTGAAGTCATCCCCTTGGATATTTTGAACAATAATTTCTCTGCCTTACATTTGTCGATGTTTTATTTAATTTTTTTTACATGTGTGATTTATCTGCTTGACTTGCTCTGACAAAAACACCCAAAGCTCTTATCTGAATGTTTATTCAAACCAAGTAAAAAAAGACCAGAAAAGATCTTAAAATAAATTGTGTAAAAAAATGGATTTTTCTTCTTACACATTAGAGACATCATGTGTGCTGTATAATAGTCCTAGTTCCATTTTTAATGTCTGACACTGAAAGAGGAACGTGAACAACAGTGTTTTGCCCATTCCTTTGTGTGAATGAGTTGGTCCTAAAGCAAAATCTCATGAACCAATGGACAGATTTAAACGAAACTTCCAGAAAATTATCACTGGATGTACATCAATAATAGATTAGTAGAACTCTGGAGTTAATCTAATTCAAAATGGCCACCACAGTTAAATGACATTAGCCAACACAAAAATAGCTTTGAATCACTCAGTTTAGCGTATGTTGATGTAGCAGTAGCTGAGATTCATCAACAATACAGATTCATGCACAATTTTTCATTAAACGCTTTTTTTTTTTTCAAAAAAATGAAAACTTTATTTCATAAAAGAAAGGGCTGATGTGGCAGCAACAAAAATCACAAACAAAACTTGAGGAAATAATAAGAACTGAATATAGCATGAAAACACACCAAACTGCAGATGGACTGTGAAGATGGAGACTGGGACTGAAAAGGCTATAGGAAAAAGGGCTAATGTTATGGTCTGGCTCAAAACCACAACAAATGAATGGGAAGCACACAGGAACAACTTAAAATATATATTATTTTTATCTAAAAAAAAAAAGTTACCTAAACAAAGCTTATAGTGGGGAGCCACCTTCTCCTGATGATGGTTACTCCTAAATAAAGTCTACTGAAAAACACAGATCCTGTAATAACCAGATTCACTAACATAATGTTTGGACATTGGCTTCATGCAGCTTTTCTTCTTTATATTGATCACATAGTGGAAGTGAGCATACTATTGTTGGGCAGACTGAATCAACATTATCTAAACTAACATTAGTACTGATATTGATCAGTATCGGTGTAATAATAGTACCAATACATTAGTTTCAGTATGGGCTGCTGTGGATTCACTGGCTTGTCAAAGCTGATTGTGTACATCCCACTGCCTTCAAGTGCCACTTTTGTCGCGCGCCACAGAACAGCCACTCTCTGCCCCCCTCTTGTGCTTTGATGCTGCACCATCATGTGACCCAAGGTTTGGCTTATTCAGGCCCATCTGTGGCGAGAACTGGCAGATAGGAAGAGGAGCACTGTGCTGTTGTATTTTCAACCCAAAAAGTATACAGCAGCAAGTATTAAAGTAGTTTCTATTTGCCCATAAACCTTGCCCAGAATTGGTCCTAGATTTTTTTGAATTAATAATCTAAAAATAACGTAAAGATTGTAAAACAATAAGACCATGCGTCCACTTTGATTATTAAAAAGGATAGGCACCTGATATGTGGTATCTAGTCCCTGGTTTATGGTATCTAATATGTGGTATGAGGTATGTGGTACCTGGTATGAGGTATCTGGTATGTGGTATGAGGTGTGTGGTATCTGGTACCTGGTATGAAGTATGTGCCATGTGGTATCTGGTACCTGCTATGTGCCATGTGGTATGTGGTATAAGATCTGTGGTGTGTGGTATGTGGTACAACATCTGTGTTGTGTGGTATGTGGTACGTGGTATGAGATATGTGGTACCTGGTTTAAGGTATGTGGTGTTTGGTATGTGGTACGTGGTATGAGATTTGTTGTGTGTGGTATGTGGTACGTGGTATGAGATATGTGGTACCTGGTATGAGGTATGTGGTGTGTGGTATGTGGTACGTGGTATGAGATATGTGGTGTGTGGTATGTGGTACGTGGTATGAGATATGTGGTACCTGGTATGAAGTATGTGGTGTGTGGTATGAAGTATGTGGTGTGTGGTATGTGGTACGTGGTATGTGGTGTGTGGTATGTGGTACGTGGTATGAGATATGTGGTACCTGGTATGAGATATGTGGTACCTGATATGAGATATGTGGTGTGTGGTACCTGGTATGAGATATGTGGTACCTGGTATGAGGTATGTGGTACATGGTATGAGATATGTGATGTGTGTAATGTTACTTGGTATGAGATATGTGGTACCTGGTATGAGGTATGTGGTACATGGTATGAGATATGTGGTGTGTGGTATGTGGTACGTGGTATGAGATATGTGGTACCTGGTATGAGGTATGTGGTATGAGGTATGTGGTATCTGGTACGTGGTATGAGGTATGTGGTACCTGGTATGAGGAATGTGGTACGTGGTACGTGGTACCTGGTATGAGGTATGAGGTATGAGGTACCTGGTATGTGGTACCTGGTATGAAGTATGTGGCATGTGGTATCAATATTGGTGATACTTATTTACTAGTTCCACACCAAACTTTGCTGCATGGCACACCATCAGAGTGTACATTGTTCTCCCCACTGAATCTGAAACGGACATCTGTCTGATATACTGCTTTAAATCAAGCACAAACTCTGCCTACCTGGCTGGACACTTTGTCATTCAGGCTGCAAATGAAGTGCAGCTTCTGAAAACTGATAAAGAACAGACACAAGAAACTGTGACAGAGGCCGTTGCAGTCTCATAATTTGCAGCTTCTAAAACAAACCAAAAAAATATTTGAGCATTAGTTCACACAGGAATCATTGTTTGTGTAAAATACTTGTAACTGTTGTTGTTCTAAACTTGCATCCACACTAAGGATGCAAGTTATCTATTAATTATTCTAAATTTGATTGATCTTTTCCATTGACTAACAATTAATTTACAAGCAGCCATTTTCTTATAAACCTGAGTTTTCTCTTGTATCAAGAGGGTCTTTCCATAACATGAAGGGCTATTTTTTTAATATGCTGAATTTAAAAAAGGAAGCACGTCATTATATTTTAACAGTTTATTGTGCCAGGGGGGTTAAACACTGACTGAATAAAAAAATGTTTTTTTCTCTCACATTATTAAACTTAGGCATATTTATGAAATATAACAAAACTGAATGAGAAAAAAAGTGAAAATTATGTAGTAAAGTATATGTGAGACACTTAATTGCGAAGCAACACCGTCCTCTGCCTCTGCCTATATTTTAAGTAGCCTCTGGAAAGAAGGGGCTTTGTGTAATTCAACATGGTACCAAGACTGCTTAGCAGTTTTAAGACATACAAAACTGAAATTTGGTGGTAGCTGAGAGCTAATGCAACACATTCAAAATGCTTATCACAAGTTTAAGCTAACTGCTAATGCTAATTTAGAAAAGGCCTTATTTCAGCCATACAGGCTTTAATTCAGACTTACAGACCTGAAAACTGGTATAGTAGTGGCCAAGAACAAGCTTTGACAAATTCTGAGTGCTGAATAAAAATCCAAGATGGCCACCATAGCTAATTTGAAACTGCAATAACTTTGCCATTTAAAAACATTTTTTCGTTAAAATTTGGTGTGATGGTAGCTAAAAACGATCTCCATTTTTAGCTTTTTTGTTTTTAGTCATTGAGCTGAAACTTGGTGTGGTGGTAGCCAAGAGTAAATCTTCAAAACTATGTTGAAAATGATCTTGCATAGTTTCTCCAGGAACTTCTAGTTTAATTAGCAATTGCTTTTGTTGCAGAATGATGATATCATAACAAAAGCTGTGCACCACTGACAAAGTTCTATGATAATGAGTTCCATTCGGAAATCATTAAATGTAAAATTTAACATTTAGCCTCAACATTTGACATTTAACTTTTACCTTTAGATTTAGAATTCAAGATTTAGAAATAACATTTAAATTTAACATTTGGCAAAACTTAGCAAAATGTACAAACAGTGATCTAAATAACAATAAAAGGGTCGTGGAAATGTTTTAATTACACTCGAGCTAAGTAATGCATCTGTGTTAGTGACATTTTTTTCAACATTTTATTTTACACTTGATTCCCCTCGAAAACAAAACTATAGAAACTTTATTTTTAGGAGATGTTACCAAAATGTATTATTTATTTTATTAATATTATTATTTTGTACATCTGTTTTTTCCATGTTATCGGGGAAAAATACTGCTAAATCAGACACTTTGGGACATAATCACAAAATCCAGTTACAAAACCTTGGACAGACATTCTAATGCATGTACAAGGAGTCTTTTTGTATCTAATGACCTTATAACTCGCTGTTTTTACTGACTGTCAGACACTCCTGCAACTATCTGATAACACTATAATTCTGTCATGATGATGCTACTTTGCCTCTTCTTTGATGTACAAGTGTTGATCATGCCTGCTTTTTGCTATTCAAATCATTGACATACCAGTCACTGGTCTTCAGTTAGTGAGTCCATGTTAGAAATGGTGCATCTGTAGACACATAAGACCAGAGGCTCCCATTTCTTTTAAGTAATAACTGAAACATGCAGTGTGCACACAGATCAAATGCTACAGTTATCAACATGATTGACAGGCTAAAAGTGTGAGCCTTATGATGCACAAGGGTGCTCAGCTATCCATTATTAAAAGATGATGCTGGGTAAGAAGTATTGAGGCCTGATGATCATAAGATATACTAACCGTAACACAGTGATAAAGACTATAATAAACATATGCACAGACAGACAGGAAACACCTAATGACCCACATGAGAGGTTGTTATACAAGTTATCCTCAAGTGTGGGGTTTTCTGTGTGTATGTTTGGGTTTCTGTTCCATTTTTAAAGGTGATTGTTTTCCCTTTTAGACTTTCAGAGGGAGGACATTTTTTTCATAACTGAAGCCTTTGCTTTTGTTCTATCTGACAATCACTTTGTGCACCATGGCATGCATAAAAAATCTTAAAATTCAAGAAGCTTCCAACAAACACTTTA